CGTCCAAGGCATCGGTCGCAAGCGCAGCACTCTCTCGCGTTCGCCGAAGCGCCGCGCCGAGGGAAACGCGGCTCCGATCCGATCCGACCGATTGTCCGATGTTCGTCGATCGGCAGGGAAACACTCGTTTAGCTGCGCGCGCCCCCATTGACCCGCCGACCAATTTTTACGACCGATTAATCATCCCTCCTCGGTTTAATTAAAATAATAACGAGGATAATAAACGACAGCGAAAGGGGAGGGCGCGGTTCGATCGAGCAGCTTTTCCAGGGAGAAAACGCGGAACCAGGGCAAGAGCAAGAGGGTCGGAGGACAACGGCGGTACCGGCTCCTATTTAGGTCCTGCTTAATGAACGAATCGCGAGCGAGCGAGAGAGGCGCCGCTAACGATCACCACCTCCCGGGGCTGAGCGGTTATTATCGCATGTGGTATATGCGGCATCTTCGTCGATCGGACGCTCAACATCGCGCGTCTCAACTCGCGGTCAACGCGCACTGTGTGATTAGTTATATACGCTGCGAGAGAGCTAAGAGAGACAGATTTGACAACGGAAGTGGACAACGACATTTCATCGCTTGGCCCACACACACACACACCTCCCAACAAACCCGTCGTATCTGTTTTCGTTCCTTTTTTCCCTTTTTTTTTTTTTTTCGATACAGACAGATATATATCTTTCGCTGTTTTTTTTGTTTTGTTTTTTTTTTTTTTTTTTTTTCTATGCATAGACATATCTTTTCGGGGACTCTCAGTGTAGCGTTTTTGTGTAGGGCAGCAAAACAGCAGCGGGGTTGATAGCCGGGTTTCGTGCAGCACAGCTTGTCAGCAGGGTGGTGTACGTGTCATTCGTATAAGAGAGATATATATTTTCTCAACTACTATCTTATTTACAAGAGACGTGACCACGTTCCATTCCCGGTCGGTCCTCTTCGTCACGCAAGTTCCGCCGGCTGATCGGAAAACGCTCCAATTAGCGAATTAACTCGTTAATTGGCGCAAATTATACGATTCAACGTACGACCGGCGCATGAGCATTGTTTAATTAATAAACTCACTGAACATATGTCATAAGATACTCCTCGGCCAAACTGGGTATAATTTAACGTGATTATAACGCGCTCGCGCTTAATAAATCATTCGATTTAAAATGCTATTAATTTTCGGCGCGTGCTCCGATTATCAACGGGCGAGCATTATAATCGGAGCAGCGATAATGCGAAAGAAGAAAAGTATGTACAAACACGCACACACACGTGTGTATGTGTATGGTATGGTATGTGTATGTATGTGTCATGTCACACACACACATACGCGCACAGATTGTCGCGAAATCGCGAGAGGAAATGGAGCGTGCACGTGGCTGCAAAAGTACTTGTATTCATTATGACCTAGGTACCGAAACAGGTGATTGGTGTATTGCAACTAGTTCTTTGCACCTGGGTAGCTGCGATAGGCTGCTAGAAAGAGAGAAATAGAACAGTGGTGTTTTGGTGATGTTAACAAGAATTCTGCCTCGTGTACTACTCTCTACACACTACAGAAACGGCTGAACATCATACAGGAGATGTAAAATATGGACAAACACAAAAGCGACAAACATGGGACGAGGACCGTTTTGTACGATCGTACGGGAGAAAATCAAACGTTAATCAAAAAAGTGGGAGCATCTTGGGAGCATCTGAGGGAGGTGGCAATTTGGAGAAATTCACGTGGCTTCGAGGAGGAGGAGGAGGAGGAGGAGGAGGAGACCAAAGTAAACGTCTCGATGATAGTTGTGTGAGGGACGTGCCGATGACGTTCGCGGTCTGTTTTCTCGTCTACGTCCAAAACTGACCGGGGACTACAGACTGAGGGGGTGAAAATACGCGAGGAAAGCGCGTGTGTCGTTTCTGCGAGTTTCTCGAGAAACGAGAAGAGTCACGTGTCACGTGACAAAGCATCACGTCAGCGGTCTTGGCGGTACGTAAGAAAATTTCGGTCCAAAAGTCCAACGCAGCGAATTCCCGATTAGGCTTTTAGAGTCAACAATATCCCGAGCCGATGTAGACGCGCGACACAGCGGCGGCTTTTCGTCGCTTCTTCCCTCAATCGTAATTAAAACAAACACGCCATTTGACGCACCGGATATATTCGCATTATCGAGAGACACGGCGAATCATCGTGCTCCTGGCACAACTATCATGTAGCACGAGCACTGCGCAACAATTGGCCAATATTATTGCACCATCGTTAATCTGTGCTCACGACCGCGCGATAACGCCGCACGTGTATAAATATCTGCGGCGTATAGATCTGCGCGCGTATATGTCGGCGCGTGTTACCGTAGAACACACGATACGTGTTCAACAGCGTGTGAAGCACGTAAAGGGACTATTGCGATCAAGGGTGAAGCCCGACGACGTATACACTCGACGTAGATTGGCGAAAAGCAGCGCAGCAAGGAAAAGCTCCTTTCGACGCAAACCCAGGAAACTGAAAGAGAGGGTGACGGTAAACGTGAAAGAACGAAGAGAGAAAGAGCCTGCGTGACAGAGATAGACACAGAGAGAGAGAGAGAGAGAGAGCTAGAGAGAGAGAGAGAGAGCTAGAGAGAGAGAGAGAGAGAGAGAGAGAGCTAGAGAGAGAGAGAGAAAGTAAAGGAGGTATACAGGTCAAGGTATAGGAAGAAGGAAGGGCGAAGAAACAGGGCGAGAAAGAGGGTTTTTTTTGGCAAGGAGACATGCAGAGAGGAAGGCGGGAGAAGAAGGAAAGGGGGCTGGCTAAGGTGTGGGAGGAAAGTGGAACAAAGTGCGGTCGAGGGGAACATGCGTGCACTTCGAGTCTTTTGTTCTCCGCGAGCGATATCCTCAGCCTGCACAAAAGACTTTTTCGAGGGTATCGCGAGGAGCATCGATGATACCCTCCCTCTTCTTCATGTCCGTACGAATCCGGAATTTTTAAATTTTCGTCCGCTCGGGCGTATCGCTTGATAGAGAAAAGTACAGTGGGACGCGGCTCTGATAATCGAGCGATGTGACGGGAGACGGAACGAGAGATAGAGTGAGAAAGAGCAGAGCAGAGCAGAGCAGAGAGAGAGAGAGAGAGAGAGAGAGAGAGAGAGAGAGAAAAAGCGAAAGATCGATGATTATTGAGAGTAATAAATGCGGATCCAAGCAATCGTGAGAATCAAAGAGAAGTTATGTTCAAGTGGAAAAATAAAGAAAAAAAGTGGAGCAATTTCTTTCCAAGCTTGTTAGGCGAAAGCGCGACGTGTTTTTCTCTTTCGTTATTTTCCGCGCCAGCTCGAAGAGATAATCTCTTCGTTATTAAAGAGAGACGAATTTAAACGATTAAATACTTTCAGTCTACGTGAAGCCACGGTGAAGAATTTGTCTTTGTGCTTGCAATTAGTTACATCGACGCAACTAACGTTCAATTATTATCTATCGTTTGGAGTGACACGATAATACTTCGGAAAAATTAAGTATCCGCGCGCTTCATGGCACGGATTTGACAAATAACTCGTCTCTCCAGGCGCGCATTGCAACAACATTGAAACTCGATACCGCGGTACACGTCCCCGTCATTTTCTCTTTACGACAAGCGACATCAACACCACTGTACTTTATTATCGCAGCTCAACAGTGAAAAGGACAGAGCATCTACTTTACCCTTTCAGACATTGACCAATTCTCAGCGGAGATAATTAAAAAAAAGGTGTAAAAAAAGACGACACACTTGCATGAAGCACACGCCACATGGAACGACTTGCGAGGTCGAGGCTGGAGAGAGAGAGAGAGAGAGAGAGAGAGAGAAAGAGAAAGAGAGAGAGAGAGAAGTAGAGAGGAAAAGAGATTATTAGTTGTCGTGGCTTGACCCATTAATATCCAGAATTTCCATCAAATTCAATGTCTAGTGCACGATACTATTGTGGAAAATTAATTTTATTAAGAATATTCTAATCTACTTTGCATTTAAATAACGTTACACATACCGTCGACATTTCCGTCAAATAAATTCCATCATGAAAATGATAATTTCTAGGATTTATTTATACTCGTCTGAGAGTTTGTTTAATGGGACAAACATTGACACAGAACATGGCGAAGAGCGTCGGTATCCGGCGACAGGAACTTTGTGCGACGATGCTGTATACTTTTACGAATTCTATTGAATTGAGAGATGTAGTAGCCTTCTCTCTCATGTTTCTCTAGCATTTAATGATACACGTTTCATTTTATCGACGAGACTCGTTCCTATCGCAATTTACCGACAATCAGTATGGAGAAGTAGAAACAGAACGGACAGTTTGGTTGTGTGATGAAGAAAAAACAGGAGGGACCGTCGCTTGGAGGGACCCAGAGAAGATTTGATTCGGGAGGCGAGATAGCGGACTTCGTTATCACGCAAAGAAGAAAACACTTGGACGAGGTACTCAAACCAGTCGTCAAGTTAGATTACGAGGAATTTGGGAGGGACGAAACCAAAAGGCGCAAACAGAAAACGGACAGAGTAAATACGAGTCGGGAATAATAAGAAATAGAGCGTAATTGTGAGGAAAGAGTTAATGTTATAGAGAAAAAGGAAGAGAGAGAGAGAGAGAGAGAGAGAGAGAGAGAGAGAGAGAGAATATGAGAATGGAAATAGTACAGAAAGAAGGTAAATAAAAAGGAAAGAATAAAACAAAAGAGATAGATAGATAGATAGACAGATAGATAGATAGATAGATAGATAGATAGAGAGAGAGAGAGAGAGAGAGAGAGAGAGAGAGAGAGAGAGAGAGAGAGAGAGAATGCATTACCGCAATGCTAGCCCGAGATTGTGCGGCCTTAATGTGGGCTTGAAGGTGCAGAGGGGGGTGGAAATAGCGGCAGGGGTCCCGATTGCATCGGCCCTTGACAGCGTCCATGCAGACCGTCACAGAGCCGTCCTCGTTCGCCTGCACCGTCTCGAGGGGGTGCGCAAACCGGCACTCCGTCTCGCCGCGTTTGCACGCCCCGCGTTGAAACTCGCGACATACCTACAGCAAGAGCGAACACGCATGGCATGGCACTCTATCTATGTGGGCAAAGGGGGGTCTGGGGCTAGGCTCAAGGGGTTGGTGGAGGACGGGGTTGGCTGGCTTGGCAGGGCTGGGGGTGCAAAGTCAGAAGGTGGATCGTTTGGTCGATCGATCGATCGATCGATCGATCGATCGGTCGGTCGGTCGGTCGGTCGGTCGGTCGGTCGGTCGGGTCAATCGATCGATCGGGGACAATCGAGGATAACGGGTGAGACGATTGTTCAAACGGTCGCTGGCTCTCCTTCGATTACGATCGCACATTATACTGTCCGATGGTTGCTTGGAGCTAGACTGACTGGGTAAGAGCAGATGGGTGAGATACACAGAGGAAGAAAGAGAGAAAGAGTGAAACGGTGGTGGTGTCGTGATCGGTTGGTCCCTCAGCGGTGACAAGAACGATGACACCGTGACCTCGTGACATCGTATCACACGGATTCCCCATTCGTTCGCGTTGGACGATGTTGGGTCGGATTGTGCTGGATTGGAGCTGGATTGGGTCGGAACGATGCTTGGAAAGAGATGCTTTCATGGTGGTATCATGCTTATGGTGGTGTCTTATGGGATGCTAGCTGGAGTGTCTTTGGAATAACGATTAGAGTGACGTCTCGGTCACCTTCTGTATTACGCTACAGAGTGTTACAAAGTGAACAAAGAGACACGGGCTCTCGTTTGCACGATTCCTGGCAGACGCGTGCATACCTTGTCAAAAATCACGTGCATGCGTTCGCGGGGTGCACTGTCACGTTAAACCAGTATAACTGAGAAAACAACAAAACAGACAATCTAAAATCATCCTAAACGTTCGCGTAAGACCGACGTGAATCCTCTCTCAGTATGTATATGTGTGTATCGTGATCGTACAATGCGCGCGTGACAGGAAGAATCTCGCAGAGAGAGAGAGAGAGAGAGAGAGAGAGAGAGAGAGAGAGAGAGAGACAGATAGATAGATAGATAGAGAGAGAGAGAGAGAGTCGAATAAAAGGGAGATTCCGGAGTGATTCGCGAGCGGGATAGTAGGTGCGGTTAGCCGACACTGAATGGGAGGTAGAGACTTTCGTGAACAGCAGATACACTGAGGAACGTTGGCGTTAACGGAGTGGGATCTTTCTACTTTGGCGAGAACGAGCGTTGGCCGTGGATACACGTTACAGAACACGTACACGCGAGAAGTCGATTAATGACCGGCTGACGAAGCAACAAACTGCTTCAAAAGCGCGCGATGGCGTCATAATTTTACGGCGCTTTTAAGAGCCGCGGTTACCCCGGTTATAAAGAAGAGAGAAATGAAAGAAGGAGAAAACGGAGAAAAAGACAAGAACGAAGGGGGCCCTCCTCCCGTTGTCGTCGTCGTCGTCGTCGTCGTCGTCGTCGTCGTCGTCGCGGATTAACTTGGTTGTCGCGTTGTCGTTAATTCGCCGGGCAAACAAAATTCATCACGAGCTAGAAGGGCACGCGCTGTGTGCGGCGAGTCGGCGAGTTGCGCGTTAGTCCGCGTGTGTGCGTGTTAAACGCGTGGGCTGAGTGAAATTTCGGGAATCTCGCTAAAACGGGCAAATTGTATTTCGACTGACGCGGCTCACGTGTAAAGCTGGGATCGAACAGGTTCCTCGGGAATTGACTCATGACGTCGCGCGTAAGAAGCGTTTCTATTAGATTAGCGCGCGCTCATGATTACTTTCGCGCGCAGGGTAAATTTAACTATGTCGATAGTTACAGCCGCGACACGACCGCGGTAAGAATATCGGAGCTGCGATAACGTGTATCTACGGTCGACACCTGGCCGCATAGAGACTACTGCTAGGCTTTTAGTGTGTATGGCAGCCACAGAGCTCGTGCCGAACCTGGCGAAATGTACAGGCGGGACTACGTCGTTCTTTTTACACAAGACGGATGTATACAGAGAGGCAATCAAGAGTATCGGCGTGTGAAGAAATAGAAGAGTAAGAAGAAGATTAATAGAAAGAGAGAAACGAAAGGACGTATAGGATGAGCGAAAAATGAAATATAGAAAGAAAAAGAGAGAGAGAGAGAGAGGCAGAGAGAGAGAGAGAGAAAGAAAAAGAGAGAGAGAGAGAGAGGCACAGAGATAAATCGAGAGAAAGAAGGAGAAAAAGACAGAGAGTAGAGAAAGAAATGAGAGTGAGAGTAGAGCAACGTGTAGCTAGCAACTGGATCGAGTGATGCGAAAGAGCGCTCCGTTTGTGGGCTTCGGGTCTGTTTCGGGGGAGGCGTTTAGAAAGAGCCAACCTGACACACACTTCTTATTATTTGTCGGTAGTTGTTGCTCTTTTCTCTTTTCCCTTACGTCTTTTCTGGCCGTTGGTAAGTACGTTGCTCTAAGCGTCATTGGCACTTGGCTCGGAGCACATTCTCCATACTTGACGTGTCTCAAACGACATCTCCGCCACGGACATCTGTCGTTTGTTCCGCTCTACGCGGAACGGTTCGCGAATTTCGCGACGGCGGCGAGTGGAAGAAAAAAAAAAAGAAAACCTACTTACCGATGGGTAAACAGGGGCGCGCTCTCGCACACGAAATTCGCATCCGTGGACGACGTGTAGTCATCACTATTACGAGAACGAGAGGCGCGTTACTTCCCGCCGAAAGTGGCCGGGGAGGATCCGCGAGATGCGGCCGGCTCTGCTGACCGACTCGTGTTACGAGGCTAATTTTAGCGCCGGAGCGAGAGAACGGTTGTGCTTATACCAACGCCCAGAAAAGGGACAAGTTAGATAATTCTATTCTACCGATGGGAGCTGAATATATACCGTGTTCAAATCTGTCAAAGCGACGAGTAGCACGCCGTTACTCGGTGCACCCTCGCCCCGCCCAATAAGGTCCTAGGGACACTGGGAGTGAGGTCGGAGGTGGGAGCTTTGGACGACGATCGGAGGGGAACAAAGGGGGCAATACGATAAATGCCTCCACGAGCATCCTCCGGTGTATTATCAATCGGGTTAATTCGCGCACGTATTAAAGGAAAATCTGCGCATGCATCACGTACCATTCCCTGTGCATTCTCGTCGCGCCTCCCGTCGAGAGAAGTAGCCGGTCTCGAGCAAGAGAGAGAGAGAGAGAGAGAGACAGAGGGAGACAGACTTCTCTCGCGAGCAGCTGTACTGTACTCGTATGTGCGGCGATCCTTCTTTAAAACTCATACAAGTCAATAAGAACAATCACGAGAATCGAGCGAAGCGCTGAAGATTCTTCATCGCAGAACAAAAAAAAAACAGAAAAAGAAAATAATAAAGTCACGCGCATCGTCTCTGAAAAGAAACTCCGGCGAGTAGCGGCTCATCGCTACGATGCAATCAGCTAATCGCGCGTCTCCGAGTGTCATGACAGCGCGCTTCGGGCCGGCAAATCTACTTCTCTCAAGGTACGAGACTCGGAGCATTCTCAAGAGTACACATCATGCATACTGCCGCTTCGAGTTCTACAGGCTTCAACAAGCGTTCTAATTCATGATCGAGTAATAGTAGTATCAGTGGTGGTGGTGGTGGTGGTAGTGGTGGTGGTAGTAGTAGTAGTAATAGTAGTAGTAGTAGTAGTAGTAGTAGTAGTAGTAGTAGTAATAGTAGTAGTAGTAGTAGTAGTAGTAGTAGTAGTGGTAGTAGTAGTAGTAGTATAATAGTAGTAGTAATAATGGTAGTAGTATAAGCACTATCCTCGTCGGTTGTCTCTCTCGATCGAATCTGTTTTCTACACATATCGGATAAATCTTTTCTCTCGTGTGCAAACACATCGCGCGCGCGCGCGCGCGAGTGCATACGTGCATGCGTGCGCTTATATACATTCAAAGAAAAAAAAAATAAAGAGAGAGAAAGAAACACACATACACAGATCGGAGGTATTTGCGCTCAACACAGCGGGATAATAAGCGTAATAGCGCATTACGAGCGTCACTTCCGCGCGCGCGAAGTGCCGTCCGCAGTGTTTGCTTTACTTTCGCGCGCGAGCGCCTTGTTCGAGCGTGTTAATTCGAGTGCACGCACTCGGCCGCTCGAGTGTGAGCTGCGGGGTTAAAGTGCGGCGCTTTCGGCAAGCTGGAAAGCCCGTCAGGAAACGCACACGTATACATTAAACGGTTAACGAGAAAGAGAGAAGGCGAGAGAGAGAGAGAGAGAGAGAGAGAGAGAGAGAGAGAGAGAGAGAGAGAGAGAGAGAGAGAGAGAGAGAGAGAGAGAGAGAGAGAGAGAGAGAGAGAGAGACACGCACATTCACACGCGTACATGTATGCAGACGACACACGGACCGCGTGCAAGACAAGAGACACAGTAGCTTGTATAAAAACAGCTACAGAGAAAGAGAAACGTATGCGTGTGTGTGTGTGTGTGTGTGTGTGTGAGCACGAGATTTGTAACATGTTTGTGTGTGTGTGTGTGTGTGTGTGTGTGTGTGTGTGTGTGCGGGTGCGTACGCATGCGTTTGTGCGTGTGCGTGTTGTTGCGAGGTGGATAGTGCAGTTGACACCGCGACGTAAAAAAAGTGAGAGACAGGTGCGGCGAATGGTCCTTTTGAGTTCCTAATTAACGACAGACTGGTCGGCAAAGTGACGCGCACTGTGAGAGAGTCAATTTGAAGTAACGCTCGTAAATTGTCGTCCAAGGAAGATTACATCGGGGGCGAGCGCGAGAGAGTCTCGCTGAGAGAGAACGAGAGAAGGACGTCTGAAAAGGGCGGGATTATTTTTCCTTAACTCGCGCCTCAAGACAGAAAGCCGAGATTACACCGGAAGGTGAGAACATCCTCGTGCCGTATAACGAGAGGAGAGTATGCCTCCGAGATTTAATTAATATTCCGTTGTTTAACGCGCGAGGGTGCAATTAATTTAGGAAAACAACTCGCTAATTACCGCCTTTAGGTCAGATCGCGTTCCGTTCCGTCCGATCGATAGTGACCCGTCATCCGTACGAGTGACGTTAACATTTCGGCCGCTTTTCGCGAACGAACGATTG